ACATATATGATTGATTAAAAAAGTTTAAAAATAGTTTTAAGAGTCTTCCTCATGATAATAAACAGTGCATTGACTGGTAGGTGCATTCTTTTTAATCAACTTGTATAGTTTACGTTTTATCAACACTCAACAAATTGTTTTGTTGATTGGTCTATTTTCTATTGGCCTCCTCCCTTATGCTGTCATTTTGTCTGCAAAAATAGCTAGTTTTCTTTGTGTACAAGCAATACCAAGTCCACAAAATTTATAGATTATCGTCTCATGCAAGCAGACAGATTATTTATGTCGCTTTATTACTCTTCCATATTGAACTAACTTACAAGAGAGTTGCAAGTGAGCTTCTCATCTTAGACCAACTATAAACATTCAAAAAAGATCGGCCCAATGCAAGAAAGTTGGGAATGATGAGACGTCACTGGGAACCATAATTGGACCCATGAAACACAAACAGACAAAATGGCATCCATAGTGGGGGATGATCATTGCAAATGTGACTCCCACACACGGCCCCCCCCCACTCCTCCCCCTCTCTCACATGTCATGACATGAATATTCTCTGCTAAAAGGTAAGAAAGATCGAGAGACATAGACACTATCTCGAAGTCAATCGGTTTTGCTTCTCATGGAGTTTCGCATACATATCCACCAATGACACTCTCAGATCACAAAGTGAATGTCACTAGTCACACAAAATCTCTGCAGCTGCCTCGGTACATTCGTTTGTGCAACAAAGTCAAAAAGGATGACGTCAGAGACAGGTACTGCATAGCTCGTGTCTTTTCTCTCCTCCATAGTTGAGCACTATCTACGTGGCTTGATCACCAGAATAGCCTTGCAGCATGATCCCCACCCCTCCTCGACAAGTGTCACATGGCCGATCGTCATCCTTCTAAGTGCAAATCCAGTACAAGCTACCGAGCATAGGAAAGTTATAGAGGATCCTTCCAAAACCTACATCCTACTCTTTTAACTTTCCATCTGACCACTTGCTTGATTTAGTCAAAGAGACATTATGATGCCCATTTTCTCATCCAAAATATAGTCTGACGGTCGAGATGGATAGCAGTAGTGAGATGTAAGGTTATCAAAGGAAGCCATTATAAATTTTCCATGCAGGGTACTGCTAGATACTTGGCCTCAAAGGTATCCATCCCCGCATGCAGCATGATGCAAGTAGGAAGTAAGATCTCTCTCTCTCTCTCTCTCTCTATATATATATATATATATAAAGACTCCAAGTCTCACTTGATTCCTAGCCCTCAGCAGAGTGCGCAAGAAGGAAAACCATGATGTGCGACCCTCCTTTCGATAGGTACAGAGATCTGTTCACTGGCTCTATCCTGCAACGTTCACAACATGAAGGACGCCAAGTTGTGGAAGAGCATGAGCTCCCAGTGATAGACTTGCGCAGCCTGAGGAGTGAGAACGTAGAAGAGCGGGTGTCTTGCGTCTCAGAAATCGTGAGGGCCTCATCGGACTGGGGCTTCTTCCAGGTGCTTAACCATGGGGTTAGCAATGAGCTATTGGGTGAGATGAGTAGGGAGCAGAAGAGGCTGTTCGAGTTGCCCTTCGAGATGAAGGCCAGCGCCAAGCTCCTGAATGGCTCATACCGCTGGGGAACTCCGACCGCAAAATCTCTTGATCAGTTCTCGTGGTCAGAAGCCTTTCATGTTCCTCTCGCTAAGATCTCTGACCCAGATTGCTGCAGCTCGGAGTTCGGTTGTCTGAGGTATTTTCCCTCTTGATTCAAATCCACTGAAATCTCCAGAATGCCCACCATCGGTGTCTTCTATGTCCAAGTGCATCATTTGTGAAGATTGATTGAATAATGATATGAATCATCCTTTTAGTGTTTCTTTTGTCGATCGATTCTAAATTACGAACATGTACTAGAATAAGTATTCGGCAGAACGGACTAAACTTGATAGAGATAACAGGACCATTCTCTATATTATTAATAGGATTAATCATAACAAGTCATTAAACTGACAAAGAATATATTGCACCTCCAGCGATGCGATGGAGAGGCTTGCAGGCACAATGTCAGAGCTTGCTCGCATGCTTGCAGGAGTTCTGGCCGAGAATCTGGGGTCCCCTGGGGATCAATTCACCAAGAGCTGCAGCAAGAGCACATGCTTCCTTCGGCTGAATCGTTATCCGCCATGCCCATTCTCACCAGAGACTTTTGGCCTGATGCCTCACACCGATAGCGACTTCCTCACCATCCTTCATCAGGATCAAGTAGGTGGCTTGCAACTGAGGAAGGATTCCAAGTGGATCGCTGTCAAGCCTAACCCAGATGCACTTATAGTCAACATTGGAGATCTCTTTCAGGTATATTCTGCATGATGAACATCGAAATCATTTTTACTCCCTGTCAAAGCAGTGCTCTCAAATCATTTCAAATGATTGCAACCATGGAAGTCTGCTACCGGATGGTGGGGAACTCACAGTCAGTAATTGCGGCAAGGCTGCATCTGCTTGCGGCGACTTTTACTCGAGCCATGGCCCATGAGATCACTTTGAAGAGTAACCTTTATCCACGATTTCACAAGACTAATGAATAACCATTAGTTTCTTCTTATTTCTTCTCCTCCACACTTTATTTGTTGATCACCAGAAAGTATTTTCAAACTAATGGTGATCAACATGGTTCGTGGTAGGCATGGAGCAATGATGTCTACAAGAGTGTTCAGCACAAGGTGATGACCAATACGAAGGTGGAGAGGTATTCGGTAGCTTATTTCCTTTGCCCATCAAACGAGTCCACCATAGGGAGTTGCAGGGAGCCTTCCGTCTACAAGAAGTTCACTTTCGGGGAGTTCAGGAGGCAGGTGGAAGAGGACGTGAAAAGAAGTGGTTACAAGGTGGGGCTTCCAAGATTTCTCCTCTAGGTTGATTTTGTAACAAAAATAATATATGATATATGTTAAAAATTGATTCATAGTAGTTATCTAGGTAGTTATAGTTATAAGTATGTTTTAAGAAGTGACCCATGATCTAAAAGTTATAGGGTAGTTCCTACACTTAACTCAATCATGGGTGATATGGTGGAGTGAGGTAGTTACTACTATGTCCTATAAATAGGACCATAGTTCATGAAGTAAGATAAGAAAAATATACTTAAAAATATCTTGTAAGTATTCTATGTCAATCATCTTGTTTTAAATACTATATCGATTTTCATGATCGAAATGATTCTTTTTACTTACATCATAATATTTTATTTTTATCGCTTCCTTGCTTCTCCATTCCCAACAATATTACTAGCCTGCAACATTTTATATGGAAATACAATAAAAAAATAATATGTCCTGTTTTTATCATTCTGAAAGCACAATATTTGCTTGTTCATTTAACCGGTGACCACTTGACCTCAAATGAACCCTTCTAATCCAAGATAATTGCAAGAACACATAACCGTGCATAACTTAAGAACTCAACAGAGATCTTTAGGTCAAACTGTACTGGAAAAAGAATTATTTGTTTAAACCAAATTCTTTCTTCTTATCACTGCTCTGGTCCCCAAAATACTTCTTATTCCAAATTCTTTCTTCTTATCACTATTCTGGTCCCCAAAATAATCTTATTCCAGATCTTTTCGGCTATTTCCTGTTTCACCTTTGATCTTTTCTAGCACACTGATTCTGTTCACGACTGACCTCTAAATGTCAGTGGTATCCACCACACTGATCTGGGAAACCTCAAAACCAATCAGATGTTTTCTCGAAGAAAAGCCACCAAAACAGGAGATTAGCCAAAGATAAACGGATGTTTATGTAGTTAGTTCTCACTATATGTTGGCTTGGGAGAAGGTTGAAAATATAATACAATGAATAAAAAGTACTTTTAAATCTGTAGTGCTTTCTAAAAGGACTTATTTATATTAATAAAAATTAAAATATAAGTTTTTAAATAATATAAAAAATCTATAATATTTCAATAAATCTTCTCGCTCTCATCTATTTATCTTAATATAAATCCTTATTTTTTTTGTTTTATCTAATCTTATATATTTGAATTAATCTTATCATACTCCTTTAATTCAAAATAATTATAACTTGAAGTTATCTTCGAAAAAAGAAGTTTTTTCTTTTGCTAAAGTTTTTGTAAAGATGTCGATAAACTAATCTTTAGTGCTATAGTAATCCATTTAAAATTTTTATTTATTAATCAATTTATGAATAAAATGATATCGAACTTCAATTTATTTGGCGCACTTGTGAAAATAGGATTTTTCATCATTACAATAATATACTTGTTGTTGTAGTAGATTTTAGTTGGTCCTTCTTATTTTTCTTAAAGGTTTATTAGAATTCTTCAAAACTAAATTGTTTGATATGATGTACTTATAGTTATAACATACTTCACCTCGTCAGCAACACATTATTGGTTTTTTATTATCTATAAAATCGAGCCAAGGCTAAATATAAATCAATAAGTGTTTTTTTCTATCCTTTCCACAACCAGCCCAATCACTTTTAAGTATAAGAATATAATTTAAAATTTTTTACTTACTCATAACAAATGCATAATCGAGAGTTCCCTTGCTATAAAGTGATGCTAGTTAGGGTTGTGCATCGATTTAGATAACAAACTAACTACAAACATAATATTCGGTAGATAAATTAATCCTATAATTAAACTTCTATATTATTTTCATCTATTTTTTTCAACTCCATTATCTAACATAAGTTTATCATTTATATTCATTGGAGTATTTATTGTCATATGAAACTTTTTAAAAATCTTTAGTATATTTTTCTTAACACAAAAAATTTTTATTTGCATCTTGATTAATTTTCATTCATAGAAAATAATGTAAA